CCGTGAGATTAAAATTACTTTATACCCTTCTTTCTACGAACTAATTCTTTTTCCCTGTATTTTATGCTTATATGGAATGTTTTTTAGATATTTCTCTACTATTGAAGTAACTGATTCTATGAATTCGGTGTTCATTTTGTTGTACTAATGAGGTATGGCAAAATGGACCGATGCATAAGCTTGATCAGGTCTTTGAATGATTGTGATTAAATCAACATATAGACCATGGAAACGCAACAAATATCAATATACGGCTCAGTATTATGGTTTGGTATTAGGATGTAGATCATTCTATTTATGTTCATAGTGTAATCAACGATATTTGACTTGGCAGTTAATCGGTATGTACCCTAAAACCTATTCCTAATCGTAAACCAAAGGCTACATCCCAAACCTAGCGTCAAGTCCTGAACTCTTTATCCGACAAATAAATGGTAATCTGAAACTCCATATCCAAACTCCTAACTCTGTCTCTACATCGAATTACAACTATAACCCATGATTCTAAATTCTACAGTTTTACACTGTGACATAGATGCCGGTCATAAGTCTTTACTGAGACATCTCGGGGTACTGTCTTCATTTAAATAATTTAAAATGTCTTCCGGAGTCGGATTATTCGCATTAGAATAAACAAGCATTACTAAGTGAGTTCTTATTCGCTAGAAGAGGTGTTGCGTAAAAGTATACATTGTGACTTTAAATCAGCTCGCACATTTGCAATTTTCTCGCCCTTGTGGTACAGCTTTACTATCAAAATAGCCTATACCAAGTTCTAAGTTGCTTAAAATCTTGCTGCAGTACCTTTTTCCCTTTTATATACATAATATTCTTTTACTTTTATTGGTAATTTTACTACTACTACTACTACGCGGGGATTCGTTCTGAAATAATTTTGTCTGGCTGTGTTAGTAGGACATAACAATTTAAACCGATGCATGTGTGTTAGGTTCTACGTTGTGTATTGTAGCTGTGATGACAATACAATAAATTTTACATCCTACCTATATTAACTTACGAAAAATACATGATCTTGATGTAAGTTGTATCTCAAATATTTATCATCCGTTAGTCGGCTCTTGTACCTAAAACGTGTTCTTTAGTTTATCCTTAACTTCTAATACCAATTTTTTTGTCCATAATTGTGTTTAATATGAGTCCCAACCATAATTGCTAACCCAGAGATTCATCTCTTACCCATAACTCTTAACCGTAAATTGACATCTAGTTTTTGCCGATTACCCTTTTCCGTTTTCAGTAATAAACAGTTTAAGCTAACTTTCACCAACCATGTCGTATTGTTGAAATTTTTTCACTTATTATCAGTGAGTATATAGCCAACCAGTGTGTTGTGATTGTTCAAGGTCACCAGTATAGCATTGTTTTACCGTTTGCATTTTTTGACAGTGAGTGAACTAGTTGAACGCATACTTTGCTTTATTTATCTTGAGAGTTCCATCAGTTCTGGTTGTATAATGTGTGACGAAATCTCGACATGGATTCAGAAAGCTTGATTTGCTGTTTCCAAGTTACTTCTCTTGTGGCGAAGGCAAGTTATCTGTCTGCCAACCAAAAGACGAGTTCACTGCGCAGCAGTTCATTTGGTTCTAATTTACGAGTGTGAAATATGATTATTAAGAATATACGATATTTATAAGTTTCTATTCGATCGTAGATGTCTTCAAAGCATTGCTCTTTTAGTTCGGACCACAGAGCAAGCAATACTTGTGTTTGGGATAGGGTACAATGTAAGGATGACAAATTGACTGATAAGGTGGTTCGTGAATCCTCATCAACTGAGGTGGTTGGGACATGTGCTATATATGGCCGACCGCCGTCTACCTAGATGTGCGATGTTAGTTGTTGTATAAGTAGACTGAATGAATTCTAGGGGCGGTCAAATTAAATCATGTCTTCGGTGGATTAAGTTATTCAGGATTGGATTCAGCCATGTTGTTGAAACTTTCTCGGAACAAGACGAGGGTATTATTTACTTTCAATCCGGAAGATCTGATCAATAAGGAGAACACTTGAGGAGAAGGTGTGCCCAGACCGAAGCAGGTCTAATCCTGTACTCACCCTGGATGGTGAGCAGATAGAAGTAGTCGAGAACTTCGTGTATCTAGGTAGCTGCATAAGTGCTGGTGGGGGTGTGAGTGATGGGATCAATCCACGTATAGTGACAGCCAGAGCGGCTTATGCCAATCTGGGCCATGTTTGGCGCCTTTGTGACGTTAGTCTGGCTGTAAGAGGTCGGATCTACAACGCGTCGGTGAAAGCAGTTTTACTCTATGCTTGTGAAACCTGGCCTCTCTGAGCTGAGGACGTTAAATAAATAAATAAAACACTTGAGGAGGTAGTTCAATCGACCTTCAGTTATCCATCATCTCCAAGCAAGTTAATGTAAATCTTCCAAATCATGGGTTGAAAAGGCTACAAGTGATTTAAAGTGATGGAGACCAACAGATCCTAGTGAAGTAACCCTTGAGATTTTTAAGAATAGTGGTCCAGTTTTAACATTCGAATTAACTGAAATTTTAGTTAGAATCTGGGAAGTGAACATAATTCCATTTGACTGGTCTCGATCGCTGATCGTCCCAGCTTATAAGAAGGGATCAGTTTAAGTAATATAGTGTCTGAAATATTAGCATCAAAAGTGCTTCAACGTCTAACTAAAGGTCGTGAAGAGTAAACCCGAGAAAACCAGGTTGGACCGAATATTCACCCTTAAGCAGATTCTGGAACATAGACATACTACCGAGTAAGCAATGCCTGTGTTATGGATAGGGTACTAATTAAGGATGATAAATTGACTGATAAGGTGATCATTGAATCTTCATCAGCTGAGGTGGTTGGGAATCGTGTTATATTGCCAAACCAAAACATGTCATTGGTGGATGAAGTCATTGAGGATTGGACTGAGCCATTTTAACAGGTGTAGATTAGTTTGTTGTGGTCGGGTTGATTACATAATATTGGGTAAGACCATTAGTAATGATAATAAACAGTGGTTATATACTTTTGTCGAACTGGCTCGAAATCATTTGGAGTGGAGCAGGTGCATCCATTGTTTGTCTTGCCTCAAATTCTGAGCCTCTGACTTCATCATACCTGTTTTCTTCTGTTTTTCTTGCACTAATCTATATTTTCTTTTCAAGTGGTATATTCGACACGTAATCACCACCGATACTGTTACTACCTCTCCTATTCTGTGATTTGTTCTGACAGTCTATTTTGTGTGCTAATGAGGTATGGTAACTTGAACCGATATACATACGTTCCATTTGACTGAATGACTACATTTCTGTTTGGTACTCACTTATGGGACAGTAATCACAAAAACTTTCTTGCTTTCTTTGTTTTCGATCTGTTACACGTAGCATTTATAAAAGCACGTATTATAAGCAAAAAACGTTTTCATTGGATTACAGCATTTATTGCTAACCTCAAATCATACCATTTAGAGTATTAGCAAGTTTAAAACTGTACCTGAGCACTTCGGTGACTTTCTTCCGTTACCTTGCCATACAAAATTAAGATTTGTAAAGTTACAAACCTTATCTTGATTTCGTGGTTTCTACCTTACGAGTAGCTTCCAAATAAATGATGGATTATTATAGAATGTAAATAAAGGCACTAGCTCGTGAACTCATTCAACGGATTTTATCAGCTATTTTGGCTTTCGATTACTTATATTTTATAACACCTCAGGGTAGTATGTTGAGCGCCCAACAACAGCTGCTACGTTGACGTGACTCGACTGAGCTATATTGACTGAAACACGTGTTTCTTTTGGTCCAACTTTAACAGGTAGGTTGGTTGGAGAGTGGTACGACCAAAAACAGCACTGTAATGTCAGAGGGCAAAGTTCTACTGCTTACTGTAGAGGTGCGTAACAGTAGTAAGTTGTCCCCCTTGAGTAACCAGCATCTAGAGCAATGCTGCCTTTTCACGACGGAAGGAAGAGGTCATGAAAGCTCTATCCTAAAAATCAAATCCCACTAACTTGAGCTCGTATGAAGTATAGGGTAATTCTACAAGAAGCATTCCAACCTCCAAAAAACTAAGCGCTCTGATGCAATAATAATGTCGATTGATTGTCATGTTCAAGTAGGCAGACTAAAGCAAAGACAAAGGAACTTAGGTGAACCTCATGGTGTCTTAGCTCATCGAACAGATAATGGCAACCATCTGTTGCAACTATGCTCAGATACTCGTTTACTTCAAGCGGGCATCACTCACAATCAACTCAACGGTAGATTCAAATAGACCATATTGACATCATCTCTCATTGGAGAGTCTCAATGGAAGAGTTCCTCTCATTCCGGAGCACACGTATAGATTGAAATCATGCTCTAGTTGGCGCACGTATTTGTTTGGTGGAGTTGACTAATTATAATAAACTTCTAGCTTTCAAAGATTAATGTGCTCACAACGTTTTTCGTAGCTAGTTACGTTACTTTTTATAGTCTCCGTTGTATTTCTGTACGTTTAGGTACATGGATGTTTCAATATTTCTTATTATAGTTAATCTAATTTACAGAATTCTTGGCAAAAAATGTATAACGACATCCTATTAGATAACTATTAATCTAACTTTTGATGTACTGCAGAAGTAGTCCGATTTTTTCTTAAAATACAGACAAAATGCTTTTTCACAGAAACCGTTACTGATCTTAACAAATAGTTTTACGTGATAGGGTATATGAGTGATATTATTTTGTTTAGCAATACGAAGTTTGCAACTTTAAGTCATAACTCGTAATCAAAACTTTAAAAGCTTGTTATTTACTCAGTTTTTTTTAAGTAGATAGTTTTCTAATGTGTATTCTTGCGCACTTTTTACATGCTCAAATATTTTTAGAATTTTGAATAGCTAAATTTTGATTCTTAAGTTTTTGGCATATATGGAATTGATTTTTATTGATTAATACGCCTATTTACATTCCGGTGATCGCTATTTAGGCATAATTTTTCCTGTTATTAACCTTATTGTTAAGACCTATGTCTACTCCACATACAGAAGTGAACTCTGGGCAAACTGAATTAGCACCTATTAGTACAGTTGGGACTGATATGTCAAGTAATACATTATCGATTGGTGTCCCTCTTCACACTCTTGGTCCCATTGAAGGGCAAGATGGACTCAGTTTGACTAGACAAGAAATAAATCGACTCATCTTGGAGTATTTAGTCGTTGAAGGTTACAAAGATGTTGCTGAAAAATTTAGTCGTGAGACGGGAATTGTAGAGCCTTTAAATGAGTTGCAAGTTGCAGGTGCAAGTTTGAATGATCGTATGTGGATTCGTGAAGCAGTTTTGTTAAGGAAAATCGAAGACGTTATTGATACAGTGAATCGATTATGGCCTGAACTCTTTGATAAAAACCCTTTTATCTATTTTCAGGTAAGATATACTACCTATCTTATGTCAATCCTTTGAATATAATATTTGACACGCATTACCTGTGTAAAGTTTCAATACTATCCATACAAGTTTATAATTGATGGATCATCTATGTTATACTAGACTAATCACTAGCTGGAACTGTAGAAGCTCCCCAGTGTTTCTTGCTTTTCAGTGGTGCGCCAACTAAGGTCAGTCTGTGATGAATAGCACCTATAAACTAAAGAAATCCAAAACTCCATAAAAAAGTAGTGGACTGGTTAAATATACCTCAGCTCAAAGTAACAACTGAACAACGTCGACGCTTTGAGTATAAAAAATAACTAAAGTAGAAAACTATTGAAATAAAAGGAAACCAAGTAAACATTGAGATTCATTAGTGCTGCTGAGATCAGTTTCTCTAATAATCTTTGCACATATATCAGTCCAAGCAGCGGGAAAGTGAATGGTTTAAAATATCAATAAATGCAAACATGTTCGAAGGAATAAAAATGCTGGATAATAATACTTCGAAAATATCAAGAAAGATTCGAAATAAATTCGTTTGCACATCTACGTACAATCATGATCTATGTCACCTAAAGTAAGCAATCATTATTCACTACGATTTCGCCTGCCATGTCGTAAAGGTCCACATTTTCTCCAGAATATGTAGATAATTAATTTCATAAGCTTATATCATGTATTTCTCTGGTTGCCCTTGAGGACTTGTAAGCTTATTCTACAATAGTGCATAAGTGTGACCAATGACTAAAAATGCATGATACATTCAGTCATCTCAGTTGATCAAAGTGCCAGGAAGTTCTAGGTACAAATCTTTCTGTTTGAACTACTGTCAATAGAACTAAGCGTAGGTACTATAATCTTTCTGTGTTCTTACAATTCCGAAATCGTAATAGATAGAGCGTAATGCAGAACGGAGTTGTTACTAAACTTCATGAAAGACCTTTGTCACAATAAACTGTATTTTCACATGCTTTAATTTATATATTTCATCATCATTTTAATATAATTGAACTCTTAAAGCCGAATATATTTATCGGTACGTTGTTTCTAAAAGACTATAACAGGTCAGTGTAATGATTATCTGACCGATTACTCATTGTCATAATGATTAATCGAATGGCCACTGTCAACATCAAACAATTTCTCACAGTTCAATTATGAGGCAAGGACAACAAATGTTGTAAGCTGAAGCATATTTGCTTTATTTTGTATTCTCCGAATTTTCACACACACACACACACGCTAATTTAACAGGTAAGATGTAATTTATCATTGGTAATTTACATCACAAAATAGTAGTGTCATGTTCTGTATCTTGACTGGTTTCCTTGACTGAATTCTATCCATTATATTACAGAAGGAGGAGTGAAATATATTGTAAAGTACTTACAAGATAACCTTAACAATTCATTTTCACATAGTCTTTAATTCATATGACAGCGAAAGCTTACTTATTTTTGAAGTTTAGACCGTAAATTAACTAAATTTCCCACTCTTTATCTCTAAATAATATCTAAAAATTCTTGTTTTTACGATTAGCTTCGGCAGCTGCAAATGCTAGAACTTATTCGGAACAAGCGTTTAGAAGAAGCCCTTATATTTGCCCAGTCGTATTTAGCGGATCCAGTAGCCAAACGGTTATCAGAACATCCTCAATTATTGAATGAAATGCAAAATACTATGGCACTATTAGCTTTTGATAATCCTGCTGAAAGTATTTATGGCAAACTGCTTAGTCCTCAACACGCTGAAGTGGTTGCAGGAGCACTAAATCGAGCTATACTTCGACATATCGAATCATCAGGAGATGAAATCGATACATCAGAAGAGGGTAAAGGCTCTGTGACTGCGAACTCTATGGGTTATTCCGGTGTCTCATCCACTGTACCACGATTGACAAAAATGATGGCGCTGTTACTACATTTCCGTGATTTATCACAGCTTGAACTTCCACCAGAATTAGCCTCATTATAGATCAGTTGAAAAGTGGAATAAACTCTTTATTATTGTCATCTTTTATGTTTCATAACTTCAACTGATTATTTTTAGTTAAAGGCAGCATGATGGTTGATTTCATGACATTTTGACTAATAAATATGTACAAATTATATAACAAGCAATATTGTGTATTAATAATTTTAGCCAAAAATTTCAGGTAGTTCACCCATTTTGGGAGTCTTGTTTTACACCTATGTGACTTTTCAATCAGTATACAGCAATAAAGAGCTTAGTTAATCCTCATACACATGAAAAATGTTTTCCTTACCCGTGTTTCTTTCAGAAATAAATCGTTTGAAATACGTCTCACTTATTACTAGTTATAAATAAGTGGGATTCGTGGATTTCTAAACATAGCAAAGGAACGTTATGAACATTAGCATACTTGTGGTGACCTCAATCATAAGATATGATGATCCTATAATTGTTTACCTAAAATTTTGATTACGCAGTTTTGGAAAGAATAGAGCGCAAAACCTGAGAATAAATCACTATTGTAATGCTATCTATAACAAACAAAGGTTTTCTAAATGATAGTATATTGGTAAATATGAAGAAACAAAGTTGTACAAGATATCGATATATCTGCAATAATAACTGGATTGTTACAGCCAACTGTATTAGCGAAGCATGAGATGTACATTGGAAATCAATGACTTTAAATGTTACACTCTGTTTCTTCAATCCGGATTTCTCACATCACTATTTGCAAATATGTTGGGTCAACTTATTCATTTCATAACTAAGTCTGACATTGCGGCCATATTGAATACACATACAAGTTAATTAAACGAAGTGTACACTTATTCGGTTTTCTATTAAATGTATTGTATGAATTTTTCAAGAGGTATCTCTGCTATCATCAACTGTTGTGTCTTCAGTAGTGTGAGCGCACTTACGAAACACTTTCCCAGGAAGACAGGTTGCTCGCTTTGAATCATTTTTTTAAAATATAGGTCACCTCACCATCAATAGAGATTTAGTTTGCATTGCTAGTTTAAAAATATAAAGTACTAAGTTAAGTGTCCAACAGTCACATTACATATGTTCACTTCTCTGAAATAATAATTTAATTCTTGCAGCCCTACCACTGAATGCACAGTATTCTTACACTTGTATGGTGTTACTGGTAAAACAAGTAATCTATCAGGGACCAACTGTATATTAGTAAGCCATACTTAAGAATATATTTATTACTAACAAATTGAATTTCATCTCTTGAATGATAGTACCACGTTTATCAAGATATGAAACTAGCTGATAGATCTAAATATTTAAACCAGAGATAATCTAAAATCGTATTGGTATTTATTTACTGAACTCTGATAGTTCATTTGGACTTTTATCATACTAAGAAATTTATACTGACCTTTCAGTATCCTAGTTATGAATATTATTGTTTTACTGGAAATATACTGACTATCAACTTTACATAACGCATCAAAAATTAACTATCTAATAGACTATGGATGCTTACTGACAGATATCTTACAAAACAAGTTTATTAATAATCGCAGTATGAGGCATGTAATTTTTAAACTTCGTGAAATAAGTGCTCGCTGAACTAGTAAAGTAATTTTTATATTTGATAAGACAACTTAAGCCTTATTTCAGAGAGAAATGAGATGAAAACGAAATGCAGAAACGTGTAAACGACGTTACACTACGAACACAATCTGCATTGCATTTTACTTTTTAAATATGTTAGCTAGGTGTTTTTAACTTTTTTTTACGCAGAGGCATGATTACTGACGTTTACAGGCAAAGTAACCCATTCATAAGATTGTTTTCCAGAGAAGAAGTAGAAGAATCTGATTGATCACCATCTTACAGACACTGGTATGATAGTACATTGACTTGTGTAAGGTATTAGTGTTTTGTCAAAACAAAGAATGTGGATTTAAAAGTCCACACACATTGCAATCATAAGGATCTTTGATAAACTTGAGTTTTTTGCATTTAAATTTACAAAATAATTGTCTTAAGTAACATTTCAACCCAGATATATTTTTTTAAAGAAAAAAGGAAACACGAATATTTTTAAATTAAATATTCTTTCGATACATCAAAATGCATAAAAACAATAAGTAACTTTACAAATAACCGATAAAAACGTCTAATTAATCTCGCTTTACAGAAAGTTTCATTAGTTTTGGTTGAAATGTGTTTGAGTTGAACGTACTTGTTGGAGCTTTTCTACAAGAAATGAAAAAATGATATTGTGGAATTAACTGACATACGTACATGAATTGATTAAAGTTAGAGAAGTACTAGATGTCGGCTTAGTAATCTAAACGTTAAAGACTTGCTAAGAAACTTAAAGCTCCTGTGTGCAAAAATTTGAGGAGTCCTATACTACAAAGAAATATCTGACCAGTATTTTCCGGTTTTAATGGTTGATTAACTAAGATCAGTCCGTGGTGCCAATACATAATAATAGTTATTACACACAGATCAGTACGATATTGTGAGCAAAGAGACTAATGTATTTCCTTGAACTAGCAATAAGAGGGAAAATACTTTTATCCAACAACACTAAGTAGCAAGTTCATTCAATTCAAAAACATGCAACTAATGGACTACAAAGGATAGGCTGAAAAAGGACTTGTTCATTACAATAATTGAAGCTTGTGCATTTATTTGATTAGGGACAAAATTAGTGAAATTTATAACCACACGAAACGCTCCTTCATATATAGCAGCTCTTAAAATAATATCAGTTTCTAATGATAATTGTATTATACGTCAATAAATAATAAGTCCGAAGAATGTATGATGGTCACATGACTAAAATATAAAGGAGTAGAACAATTAGTTTGTCAAACTTGACGTTAAATTACTAGAACACTAATAGTAACATGAGATAGTGAATGAAATTAGGTCGATTCGCATAACTACAACCGTTTGAATAGTGGTAGCTGGATAGGACGCAAAAATTAGTAAAAATGGAGTCGTCATTTATTTCTTCACAATGTATAGAAATAATTTCAGATGAAAACAATAGTTAAGTCATATTTTGAGAATAAAGTTTTTACCGTTTCCAGCCTGCTGAGCTACTGGACGACGCTGACGAACTAGGATTGGATTTGAATTGATATTTACCAAAAAGATAATTTCGTTTACGTTCGCCTCCACCACTTGGCGTTATCTAAAATATTCGATTAATAAGGTGTCATTTATGATTTTGATGTATAACCAACATAAAAAGTACTGAGGCTCAAGATTGGATGGAAAAAAGGCTTATAAACATTGATACTAATAACCAAAGGTTCATGTTAAAATTATCCTGGAATCAATGCGAATTGAAAAGAATGAGTAAGATGACAAATAAACAAGCACCTTATTGGTACAATACAGTTAAATCCAAGACCAATAAGCGAAGGAAGAATATTTAGAGAGCTTAGATGTGAGAGGCGATAGCCAGATGAATGTGTGCGACCTAAATAAGTTTTTCGTACGTCAGTCATCTGATGTAATGTACCCTATATCCTCAGGTTTGAAGAATAATTGTTTTTCAATTTTCACTGAAACTGATGTCCGAAAATGTCTCCAGTCACTTAACTCGTTCCTACGTTTAAGACCTGACGAAATCCCAGACCTTTTATAAGAAGTGTGCTGACGTTCTTTGTTAATGTTTGACAAGCATCTTTCACAAATCCTTTCCAACTAATCTCATATCGAAAATGTGGAGAAAGATAAAAATAATTCCAATACCTAAGAGAGTATCTGATGATAAAAATGTAGAATTTAAACCCATAGCAATAACTTCACCTTATGTCAGAATCATAGAAAAACTATTGCTACTCGGACTTCAACGTGCACAAAAAGAGTATAATAATTCATATCAGTTTGCTTACAAACGCAAAAGAAGCACCTTAGATGCTGCTGTTTTTCTGAATTATAATATAGTGTACAGCATTTCTAGATTACACTTCTGGCTTTGAATCTATTCTAAGACAACCACTAATTAACAAGTTTATCAGCGTCAACATCGGCAGCTGCATAACCAACTGGCTGTGTTCTTACTTCTTTGAAAAAAAACAATATACTGTGTTTAAACGAAAGATCTCAATGTCTCTACTGAGTGATAAAGGTGTGCCACAAGGGACTGTTCCTTTCCCTCTTTTTTTCTGTATGACTTGCCATCTTCGACAGGAAACACTTGTTAAATATGCGTACAACCTACTGTATGCACGCCGACTTCTAACTGCTCATATCCCCCTGAAATGGATGTGTTCTCGTCTCTTATTGAACGATGGGTCCACACATAATCCTCCAAAATTTCAAATTGTTAACCATAGCCTGAGACATAAACAGCATTTAAAGATACTGTTGGGATCCCACAAATCATGTATTATTGGCGATTCTTTAATAAAGTGTTAAAAGTCATTTATCTTGGTGTATGTTTTTACTCTGATCTCTATTGGCCTTGTCATGTTTTATTGTTATCGAAGGTAGCATGCTATCGGCATTACTAGACATTTACTTTTACGATTTGCTATTTCTTGCACATTACTTATTATTCATTACTGTTCTCCATGATCCTTTTCTGGATTTTTGAGAAGACTCTGCTATATTGAGGAGAGTGCAGAAGGTAGTTAGTAAGGTGTGTGCTAAATATTTTAAGGATAGACATCTAAAATCTTGCAAACTCCCGTTAGGTGTTATCAGATACTAACCATCCACTTTATTTATGTTTTGTTGTTGATCTTCTGGTAGAACGAGACGTCGATACATTAAAATCCATGCACACAAGCAAAGGTGTAAAAGCTCTACAACACTTTATCTAGCAAATGTAGTATGTGGCGAACAGATTGTTAAAGGTCAGTAACCTGAATTTTAATCAATTGAAATTTGTACAGATTCTAATCTTATTAAAAAGCATTTCATTTAATTTCGGGTAGTTTATGTAAAAGAAACTTATGGAAATATTGTGTTTATAATTTTATATTGTACTAAACGTATAATATTGAATAAGGCTATTAATAATAACTGGGTGGATACATTTTTTAGACAAAAAAAATAACAAACAAATAAAGTTTACAAACCTTTTTTGTACTGTAAGCCTTTGTACGACCACGTTTAGCGAAATTACTACGTCCTCGACCTCGACTAGAACTGGTTAGTGGTAAAGATTGTTGAGGAGTGTTCATTTCCTCTTGTTCTTTTTCTTCAGCTTTTAAGGCTTAAAAATCAAAACAGTATGGAAACTTTATTTTAAGCAGGACATACACGAACAAAGCACTGGACTAATCTTTCACAGAAAGAATAATTAATATGAAAGACATAGATATCTCCTTAAAGTG